TATAAAACAAAAAAATTCCGATCTTACAGGCTGCGCCAGCCTCCCCGACGGCTCGTACTCCCTCGGCTGCAGCCACCAATATTTCATGTGCTCAAATGGGAATTCGTATGCGGCCGAGTGCCCGGCTGGGCTTTACTACAACGAGGCGACTATTGGTAGGTTTCGCTGCCTAGAAAAATACCCTGTCATTTTTTAGCCTGCGACTACGTCGAGAACGTCGGGTCGTGTAATGGGCAGCCAAGAGCTGGTAAGTAAGCCAAGATGCCTTTTTAATAGCTGTCATTTTGCGGAAAGTATCACATCCTGTGGATGTTGCTATTTTTGGACCGTAAATAACCCGATAAATACTAAAAAAGCAGGGTTTTTCTGTGTTTGTCAAAACGAATTGTTTCCAGACGAACCGGCCCAACCGCTTCACCGAATGGACGAGATGCGACTCCAAGCCGAGCAGCCGATTCAGGAGAACTTCCAACCTGGAGGACCATTCGTGAGACGTACGTCTACTGACTGGTTAGGAAAAATTTGGCAAAGCGTGCGCGCCATCATAAAATCGTGATAAAATTCGGCTTTTGCGGCACGCAACGTCCGCTTCTTTTCCGCAATTAGTGAAAATGACCACTTACTTGCAACACTAAAAACAACATGCAAATTTCGTTCACAAACTGCAAATGTTGCAGAACCCCAGCCGTCCATCTCGATCCAGCCGCTCCAGGCCCCGCCGATGGTCGCTGCACCGGAATGTGAGAATCTCTTGAGTTTTCTCGATTTAACGATATTCAGTCCAATGGCAACAGATCGATCTAAATGCCGGTCCGCAGCAGCCACAACAGCAACAGCAGCCTCAGCCGCAACAACAGGAAACCTGGACCGTTCCCACCCCGATCCAGGCCCAGGATGGTTTGTCGTGCCTACTAAAAAATTATCACGCATTTCAGCTCCTGTGGCTCCGCAAGTCCCGCCAACTTGGACGAGCCTCCCCGCCCAAAACTGGCAGCAGCAGCAGCAGCCAGCTGCCGCTCCGGCCCCGCCAGCTGATCAGCAACAATGGCAGGCTCCGGCTCCATTTCCGGAACAGAGCGGTGAGTGTTAGAGAGCGGGAGAGAGAGAGGAGAGAGTGAGCGAGAGAGTGAGCAAGAGAAAGAGCGATACAGAGGGATAGCGCGAGATCACGACATTTTTAGCTCCCATCGCCCCAGCCGCTGCTCAAAACTGGGAAGTCCCTGCTCCGATCGCCCCAGTAGCTGACCAGCAACAACAACAGCAACAACCCTGGACCAACCCCGCCCCTGTTCAACCAGCTCCGGCAGCTGATCAGCAGCAATGGCAGGTTCCGGCCCCGCTTCCGGTTCAGAACGGTATGGTTTCGTGGCTTTAAGGTTTTGGTATGACGAAGATCTAGCAGATTCAGCAGATCTACATGTCAATACGTATTTCTGATAGAACTACTATTTTTTTGAAACCCTTTTATTGCTTATGAAATTTCAGCCCCTATCGCCCAGCCCACCCAAAATTGGGAAGTCCCTGTGCCGATTAGCCAGGCCGCTCCTCAGCAGCAGCAACAGCAGAACCAGTGGACCGTTCCCGCCCCACTTCCGGTCCAGGATGGTAACAATTTTCCTCGTCAGCTCCGTTAATACAAGTTTCAGTTCCCATCCAACAGTGGCCCGCCCCGGCCCCGGTTCAGAATTGGCAAGTCCCGGCTACGGTTGCTCAAGCTCGTAAGTTTTTGATTTTGAAGTTGATTCTCGAAAAATACTGAAGTCATAAAAATTCCATTTTATAGCGCAACTCCCACTGATTCCTCTGAACTTCCCGCAGCCGTCGTTTGGTAAGTTGTTTATCCGTGTGGCTTTCTCGCGTTCCCTTCAGCTCGTACTCATTTATCGTTTTCTCGCTTTTACCATCTCTTACTCGCTCTCTCTCTCACTCTCTCACTCTCTATCGCTCGCTCGCTTCACATCTAGCTTCAGCACCTCCCGTCGTTTTCCCTCAAGCCCCGGTCGCACCAGCGGTCGGACGCCGTGGCCGCTGCCAGGCCGGCAAACTCTACACCCGCGGCGACTGCATGGACACCTACTGGCAATGCGTCAACGGGGTTGACTTCGCCCAGCTGACCTGCCCACAGGTTGGTACATTATTTTAGAGCGCATCAAGAGCATGTTTTAGGGCCAAGCCTTCGACCAAGTCTCCCTGTCTTGCCAGCTCTTCGAAAACGTCGCTACTTGCGTCAACAAGGATTTGCCTGCCCCGTTCTACGTCAACAACGCCGCTAGGTTCCCGAAGATCAGACCCCCGCCGAGAGATGAGGTCATCGAGTAGGTCTTTCAAAGGGCTTCTGCTTCCCCGCCTTTGAGATCTGAAGACTAGATTCAGACTTTCACTGGTGATATGAAAACCTAAAACATCCAGGTACATCTTCAACCCTCACCGAATTCGGTACGACCGACCTCATCACCATCACCGTCATCACCACCAGGGACACCCCCATTTCCCCTACCCCGGCTTCGACCAGAGCGGACCGTTCGAGAGCCGTGAGGAGGACGATGTGAGTCTGGTTCTCTCTCTATCCCGCTCTCTAGCTCGTTCTCTCTCTCCCTCTCTCTCTCTTATTCTCTCACTTTCTTATTCTCTCGCTCTCTCTCTAATTCTCTCTCTTGCTCTCCTGGCTTGTTCGTATAGATAAACGTACTTAAAGCTATTTTTCAGATCGTCCTCGACAACTTCAGAACCAATCGCCATCCAGTTGGCGAATCAGTGATGTTTGGACCTTTCTTCGTCAAGGTACATATTTTGAGAAAACTTGTTGTTGAAATTTTAAACAATAAGTGTTTTTTTCAGACTCGCCACCATCGCCGTCATCACCACCATCGCAGAAGACATGAGCACCGCGAGATCCGAGTACCAACCTATACCGAGGACGCTTTTGAGGGTCGTAAGTAGCATAGGGACGTACTTTAATTTGCCTAATCGATTCAGGAATCCCCAAGGAGATCAAATCCAACCCGTTCTTCGACGGTCGACACCGAAATCGTGTCGAGGTCGAGGATGTTCTCGACAAGCGACCAGGACAGTTGACCGACTCGATTTTCAAGTTCTTCCCGGCCACCAAGAGAAGGTAGGAATTTTGGCGGATTCAAGAGGCGGAAAGACAGGGCTATAGATTTTACGTTCACGAATCTTTCTGAGTTTGTTGCAACCAAAACTCGTGACGCGAAGGGCCGCGGGTTAGAAAAGCGGATAAGCGCCGTTCGCGGTGCGCGTCGCGGCGATCGCGTAATGTGTGGCGGTGCGTATTTTGCGCATAGCAGTAGGCGTGTTGCGTATAGGAGCCTTGCGCATTCTAGCTGGTGCTTCGCGCGTGGCAGTAGGTGCGTTGCGTATAGCGCGTTTCGGTGGGATCGGACAGGACGTAGTGGTCGTAGCAATGTGCGCCTTGCCGTGTGGCAGCGCTGCTAAAATCCATAGCTGGTCCATAGCGACCAAAGGCGTAACAAAGCCTTCTCGGTATCTTGAAAGCTTGTTTGAAACGATTACGTTAATAAATATTTGGTTTTTAGCGACCGACGACGGGACGACAAGAGCCACAAAAGCCACAAGAAGCACAAGAAATCGAATAGTGACGAAGTAAGCATTTTATATTTGACGTTAAAACGGTTTAGGTTGAGGGTTCGGGCACGGATTCGGGGATGGATTCTGGAGACGATGACGGCGACAACGTAGTCGAAACGAAGGCTCTCCGTCTGATCCGCTGAACATACGATTATTCCGGGGCCATCCCTCCCGCTTCTTCTCCCTAAATAAAATCATTTGAACCCCCCATTTGTCGATTTGTGTTGTGTGACTGTAATAAAGAGTGTAGCCTGTTACATCAGTAAAAGTCAGACTTAACCGGATAAACTTACTTTAATTTTTAAAAATTGATATTATCAAAATAAATTTAAACCAAATTTCCATTTTCGGACGCATAATTAGGGTCGAAAACGCCTTAAAAATTTTCAAAAGCTTTACAAACTTTAGGGAACTTTTTTTACGGCAATTTTTTTTGACGATTGGGCATATTAATGGCATATTTGGCTGAGTAGCTTCTGCTAAAAATCGATAATGCGTGCTTGCCAGTCTCTGGCCCCTATTCTTCTATTAGTGCATCGACACATCGACGCATTGACAGCTTGACGACAAACCTTCGCGAGCTTGACGCCTCCCAACTCCCATGCCACGATGCTGATCAATGGGAATGGCTGTCCACCATGCCCAACACATTTCCCTGCGACGTCATCAAGCTGTGGCTGCAGCATCATCAGGCCTCCATAACCTTCTTGTTTGATGTAGGAGATCTGCAATTTAGCAGGAATGAAAAAAGGGAAAATTTTTGTTTTATCCTTTGGAGATCGTAGCAAATAGAAAACGGTGGAATCTGGGTCACTGGAAAAAGTGTTATGGTCTTGGAAAATCGGAGCCGGGCCTAGTTTTTTCATATAAAAGAAATTGAGCCAGTGCCTACCATTTGTACGATCACCGCCTCGTCCGTAAAAAATTGCCTCAGCCTGTTTTCGGTAAAAAACGGCGTAGAGAACCGAGAACCAAGAGACTCTGAGCCGAAACCTCGGCTCCAATTCGTATCGTTGTTTTCTCGCGGATTTGGCAAATCTAAAAATTACGACTGATTGGTTCTTAAATGATTTTCGGCTAGTAACCCCGGAATTTGTAAAATCGAAACGGTTTTTTTGGCCCTTTAATGGCATCAAGAACCCAAAAACGTACTTCTTGAAACGCCGGAATTGTCGAAGATACATCTTCCGCAATGATACCGTCAACGTCACCACAATCCTATGACATTATTAAAATATATTTTTCTCGTCTTTACTTACCGTAATCTTCCACCCAATGCCAAAAGTTGCAGCACCGAATACAATTTTATCTTTCGGTATCCCTTGCTCGACAATGTATTGGGCGGCCTCCTTCTAACAAATGGATTGATAAACTTATATTTTTTGAATTTAGTATTGCGTCTTTATATGATACTTTTTTACCTGATGCCAAATCTTTAACGGATCCGTCCACATGCCAGTGATGTTGAACGGCATCAGGACCACCAAATCGACACTAAATTTCTAATTTTTTTGTAACGATTAGAATACCTCGAAATTTGTCTCAAATCGTAATTGTCAAACAGCGATTGCTTGTCACCTGGCAGAACTGCTACCACTTGATACGGTGATCCAATTTTCATGGAATTTGCTTCGCTGAGGACTGTTTGGAATTCCTAAAAAAATACGGTGAATGCCTTATTATTTCGTGCTAGTATTTTCAATGTTAGTGCAAAATGAATGCTTATAGTATCCACCTGAAGATAACTTGCATAATTCGTCGTATCTCCAGCCGAATCCGACCAATCCAAGGCGACACCATCGAGATTAGCCATTTTTAGGAAGCTGAGACAGGCATAGGTGAATTCGATTCGGCGGGTGTTAATTTTTAGCTCCTAAATGGAGGGATTATGTTAAGAAAAAGAAATCCCGTAAAAATGAACTTTTTAAATGCAAAATACGGACTTCAAAGATCACTGCTCCAAAAGTCCTTCCAGAAATTGAGAGCAGCACCATTAGATCTGGATCAATTTTCTTCAGGGATACCACCTTTTCCACAAAGTTGGCCCCAATCCAAGAGTCCTCTTCGTGAAATACAGTTGAGTTTGAGGTGCTAAAACTGCGCGATTAGTGGAGCCGAGAAAGTTACCACAAATTGACCATATCGATAAACTCCGTGCAATCGTCTACCCCGGCTACTACTCTCAATAATTCGCAGTTTTCTGTCGCCCAACCCTGGATTTTTGATCCGCCTAAATTCGATTCAGAAAACTTCCAGAGCCTTATACCCATTTTCGCAGCCATATCCTTGATTTTAGAGCAATATTCGCTACTTACGGAAGCAGTGTTTGCATGGCTAGTCGGCCTGAAAAGACTCTTTGAATGAATTTATAAAATCAGAATCTGCGACGTCTAAATACCAATCAAGGTAATCTACCTTCCCGCTACCTCATCCTGTAGCCATTCAGCCTCTATGATCAAGTGAGTGCACATTCCTGGCTGCCAATCACGGAGGGAGAAGCCATTATTATCAGGTTTTCTGAATTTCGATAAACATGATCCGGAGTAGAAATCCCCTACCTGAATTGTCCCCACAAGTTCATCCAGCAAGGTCGGATGTATTGCGGTCGCGTTGGGGTAAGCCCTAAAAATTACATAATTCCCGAGGCATCGTAAATGAGATCTTGATATCACATTTTAACGGCATTCTTCTGATGCATGTTTTTGTAGTTGGAAATCGCTGGGAGTAGTGGGATGACAAAACTTACGAAACCCAAAAGGCTGGTAACCTTGGCTGACCGCAGAATCATGGGCTGGCTTTTGAACATCGGTGGTGACTTCCGGCAAATTTCCAGAAGATTCCAGAAGTGGAATAGCCTTGACTACCCCAAATAGGAATACAAATGTTAATAGAAAACGGCGCATCGTGTGCTTGTTATTGGGCAGGATGGTCAACGCGTCATGGCCTGCCGTCCCCTGCGGCAAGGGCTGATTTTATCGCATCAAGGTCATCAGATTATGTGTGTTTAGGTGATCTTTACTTGCACTGATTTGACTTGGTCGCGGATACGTCAAATAATACGTTAAAATAAAAATATTTATCCGTAATAATATTGATAAATCAAAAATGTGTGCTCGTGTGGTCTTTCGTTTCGGCAGCCACCGAGCTTCCCGTGATATTTGTACTTCGTGGGCACAATGGAGAATGGGGGATGCTGCTCCGGCAGATTTTCAAGAATATTCGCTGAAAAAGAACGTTTTAAGGATGATGGACATGAGCATTGAAAACTCAAAAAAAATAGGTCTGAATGTATGATCTCCTAACATGTCAAGGTTCGGTTAGAATTACTGGACGCAAGTGGAAGATCTTTTGAAATCAGGCCGAGCTTACCTTGATGCTCTTACAGTCACTCGCAATGCATATCCTGAACTTCTCCATCCGGAGTGTGTAGATGAACAAATTTGCCGCCATTTTTATGATGACCAGAGTGTTGACGATAAGTGAGATGGCAACCGCAGTTCGTAACCGGATATCCCGGTAGGCAACGATTGGACAGTCTTGGTAGCAGACCTGAAAAAAAATATGAAACTAGGATTTCCCCGTTCAACAATTCTATGGACGCAGTCTTGCATAGTTTTCTGGAAAATAGACGAGAAAAATATTAATCGGCCGAATTTGGTGCGGTATCAACACTCACCATTACGAAAAATATCATATGCGGCCCCCAGGAGAAGCAGTATGACGAGACGATGATCAGACTTGTCACCAGTAGTCTCATTTTCCGCTTCACGTTACCCTCTGCGCTACTTCTCCTCGTTAGAGGATCAGCGCTGGAGAAAAAAATATTATATTTCATTTTCCGCGAAGACCTACCAGCTAGGACTTGACTTCACCATCTTCAGCTGGGCCTCGCTTAGGCAACGAACGATTTTGAAGTACATTGCCTGAAATATTTTATATACACTATCAACCAAGGGAACAGCTGTTTTGTAATTTAAATGTATTTAGTTTAGTTTTATAACCCTCACTTGACCATTACTCCAATTGTGTTCATTATAAAAATAAAAGTGAAAAAGACAGATCCTTCTCTTTTTTTGTTTTATGAGCCCTCACTTGGGCTTTTCCAAAATTAGCCACAATTGGCAAATTTTCTTATTGTGTGCCTGGCGATGGCTCGGACATCTAAGGAAGGACGTTCAGGCAACATGGTCAATTCAGTAGCGATGTGAACGATTGGATGGGTTATCGTCATAGCCAGCCAGGCACCATCACAGGCCGATGGTGAGGAGAGGGTAGAGGGTGGGGGGATAAGGAAACGGAGAGGACCAGATGGGGGGCGAGTGAGAAAGGGGGTGGGGTGGGAAGCAACCCTATTTTCTAATCAAAAGAAAAACGTAATAATACGATAACGGTAGAAAGAAAAGTAAGAAGAACAGATTACTATTTGCTAAAATAATTTAAACCAGTCAAAAGGAATCTAGTACGGCCCCTTTCGACCCTCGTCCAAGGCAGGCTAAATAATGCTAGTCGGAATGCCCAGAAAATTGAAATTATTGAAAGTGCTATAGAATTTGTTATTTAGTTAGCAAGTAGTTCAAAGAGCTGATTTCATTTGGGGTGGTGCATAAAAATGAAAAAGTACGATAGAAAACAGGTAGAAATGGCACGATCCAGCTACTTTGTCCCCCGTGCTCGTTTTTTTTGGATTTGATTGCTAACGAGCAATATTTTTAGGTAGAAATCGTGAACAGCTATTTTGCAAAAACTCACCACAGTAGCCAAAATCGGCAGGAAAAATAGTGGAAATGTCGTAGCGCGGAACGGGAATGAAAAGTAGAACTTCATTGAGCAGGTCGGGTCCCGGAAACCACCATCGGGCAGTGCCCAAAACCTGTAAAAACGTTTTGTTTGTTTCACCAATACCTGGCAAACACGTTTTTTTAGGTTTTAAGATGCCTGTTAGCTGCTTTTTTTGAACCGTCAAGGTTTTATTAACTTACCAAGCAAAAACGTAAGCATGTGGCAGCACCCATAATCCCACCAATACGTATCGCATCCGCCCATTTGTTACCCATATCTGAAAGCCAACCTTTTTTGAGCCTAGAAAATGTAAAAATAAAACGAGAAGAGTGATAAATGTGGACGGAAGAATTTGGGATCGAAGGATACAAAATGATACCTTATGCCTCAACGGCCACATGGTGCCACACCAATGATTTAACGTTAGAATAAATAAATGCCAATTCGAGCAGAGCATCGAGGAAATCTGAAAACTGCAAATTTCCATGTTAAAGGATGGTACGGAGCGCTCCAAATGACGGTAAAAAGCGGTGAGTTAAGAGCAAAATTCTACCTTTAACGCCTCAAACAAAGCCAATGTGCATAGGTTGGTGGTTTTGTGGAGTCCGAGGTAAATTATCACGTAACTCGTCATACCCTCTAAAAATATCGAGTTTGCTTGACCAGGAAATTATTGATGTTTGGTTTTCCATAGCTTGAATTCAGCCGCAAAACGCCTCGTTTTTAACCTCAGTTCAACAAGATCAAAACTCACTCAAACAAATATTAATCGATGTACAGAGATCAGCTGCCGCAAGAGACACGCATAATTTGAGGTAGGGAGACACCGGACTTGGCAGGTTACGAGCCGCAGCCACCAACAACCCGTTTCCCACTACTGAGATCTAAAAATATCCATATTTCAGGAATGCGAAATCCAATTTGTCCTCAAAACTCCATCATGAAAACTCACCAATAACAATACATTCTGGATCGGCACCGTCACCTTGTACAAGGAAGCCGCAAACTCCTGATCTTCCGTAAAAATGTTGCGTTGTGGGGTGAAGGATAAACCATTTAAAGACGACGAATTTGGGCTCATTTCTGAAAAAGTAGACAAATAGACAATTCATCAAAAGCGAAAAGGCTCAACATAAAAACAATATGGAAGGAAAAAGAATGCAAAACTGCAATGCAAAACCGTGTACATTCTACATCGATTCCCCACCCATTCCGGAAGAAATTAGCCAAATCAGAGCCTGAGTGACCCAAGTAACCATCAGCAGCCCAACCAGACTTGAGTTTGATGAGTTCGAAAAAGCCAAAGGAAGTTTTTTGTTCCTTCTCGTGCCTGCCCCCCGTAGAAAAACCCTAGGGAGTGTTGAAAGGCTTCCCTGGGAAATTGAATTGAGACCCGGATTCGTAGCCGAAACTCGACTATTTGGGGAAAGAGAGAAAGAGAGAACGAGAGAGAGAGAGAGAAAGCTCTATCTACAGAAAAACGGGGAAGACCATAATGGCCGGCACTTTACCTTGGAAGCCAAAGTACTGGTGTAGTCTGGGAGAATTCGGATTGCGCAAATCCAAAATTGGTATTTTTGAAAAAGGTAGCATCGGTCCGCGAGTACATCTATAATTTGCAGTTATCTTTGGCAATCGCGCTAAGTTCGTCGAAAGCTCAAAATTCTCACCTGAAAGGCGACTAAACCGGTGGATTACCTCAAAGGCTACCTGTCTCAAAAAGCTAACGGATTCAGGATTACAGGAGGATCTGCTGTATAGACAAACGGTTAGAGAGTGAGAGAGTGATAGCCAGGTCTGGGGCGCGAGTGTGATGGAGAGCAACCTAACATGTCTAATGAAGAAGACGCCTACCACGTAATTAGGATAAATTCCTGAAACCAGGAACCAACAGCACCGAAACAACCCATGAAATATGGACCCCGCTTTGTCAAGTGACCGATGGGTTTTTGCCAGAAAAAGTGTGCCAAGTGATGGAGGTGATGCCTCCCCTGCTGCCCCTAACGAAAAACAGGGTCCTTGAGGCTAACACACACACCCACAAGTTCCGTGCCACTAAAGGCCCAAAAGGACCCAATGGCAGACAACAAAAAAGTTACCCCACCAACACGTGCTCCACTTTGTGAGGTGAATTTATAATTATTGCTCATCTCGGAGGTGAACGGTGGTTTCGTCTGGAATTACGGTTTTTTGAAGACTATAAGCTGCAAACAACTTTTTGGAGAGTTTGCGTGGGAGATTATATGGTACTTTTTGCAAAGCATCGAGCCCAGCGGCCATCGGGCCTTCGTTGAGTTCGGATCTAGTTTTACTTCGGCGCCGCTTTGCGTTACGGGACGGTAAAGTATATCAAAATTCTTGTCGTCCTTTTAGCTTCAGCATAAGTTGCCTTAAACCCTAAAAATAGCCCCAAACAGAAAATTTGAGAATGTAAAGTCGGAATTTTGCTGTGTCAGGCGGGTTAAACTACAGTTTAGCCGGTAGCGGGCCGATTGCACTTGTTCAATAATCTTCAAAAAAAATTTTAAATCTTAATACGAGTTCGGTTTCTGTCCAGGAGCAAGGGGATTTTTTAGATGTTTAAACTAGCGGCGTGCAAAGGTCCCGTTAACAATTTAGGGGTTTTCGGTTGAAAGGACGCGAAGCACTGACCTTGAATTTCAGTGAACCCGACCAAATTCCTTTACTTGATTTCCATCAGTAGGGATCAGTTTGCACAGACTTCCGGTTGCTGTTTTTTTGGGGATAGAAAGATCGGTTACCGCAAGCAAGGACTTCGTGTGCTAGACTACAGTCTTTTGGAAGAACCACTCAGAATTTTATTGTCAAAATCGATTAAAACAAACTAAACAGAAGATTTTGGGTGGTAAACTGAAATTTTTTAAGATTCTTGCCAAGTCCGGTAAACAATTGGAAGATGATGGAATTACGTGCCAGGCGGGAATCCATCTCAAGACCAGATAAAAGAACGCCCACGGAACCCCCCCCCCCACCCCCACCCCCCCATCAAAAATTAAAGAAAGCCCGCCGCATCAAAAAATCTTTGGGAAGTCCTGAGCGCAAAAATAAAGGGGGTTTCACTTCCGGGAGTCTGAAATTGCTGCCATTTTCTTCCAAACCCCCAAACTTGATTAGATTTTTGAAAAACGACGTTACGAAAACCTACAAATGACATCCGAAACCAGTTGGGCCGAGCGAATTACCAAAAACTACAAGATAATCCGGAATCCGTGGTTAGATGGGCGGGCGTAACAATAGGACGGATTGGCTTGCCGGTAGGTGGTATACATAAGTGCTTATTTACGCAGGTAAACTGCACCAAAAGTGTTCAAAAAGTGGCCTATTTCAGGCATGTCTGAAGGTAAGTAATTTTAGAAGTCGAGTTAAGTACGAAAGAGGATGAGAATTCGGTGTCAAAAATAGAATTCCGTCGAGCGCCTTTTGGTATTTGAATACATTTCTGTGACGAATGGCACACAAGAGAGCAAAGAACGTCATTTGTCTTCATTTCAGAGCTACGCCTTCACTGGTTTTTAACGGCTGTAAACTGACTATTGTTCGGCTGGGTCTTAATACATTACGCTATGGAATGCTCGTGCACGCGTTGAGTATCGCTGCACGAGAAAATTGATAAATAGAATACACCGATTCTAAACTATAAACTATCAATATACCCGAATATTGGCGTGGGCACAGCAATACGTTGGCTTGCCTCTGGCGTTGACTCAACGCTGGGAACTTAATCCATTACCAAATGTTGCGTTCCTTGTCGCGGCAAAATTGCTAATGAAATTTCGAGAAAAAAACATTTTCGAAATTGTACTTATTGGACCTTTAACGGCCGTAGCTTTTGGATCTGAAGCAGCAGTGTGGGCGCGCCCGCGTAGGCGAGCGCAATGACACATCCTTATGGAACGGAATTGCCTTTGGGTAAGGATGGTTGGGGTGGGGCGCGCTTTAGGCGTCGGGGAGGGGTGAGAGAGTGGGGCCGGGGAAGAGAGAGGACAGACGGCGAGGGGGAAGAGATCGGCGGGGATCCTGTCCCGCGAACCGATCCCAAAATTAGTAAGGCCATAAGGGTGTGAATGATAAAAAGACACTAATGGTGGACAACATAGCCTGAGGCTACTGATTTTGCCACAATCAGGCTTTTAGAATCTTCCAGGGTAACTTTAGCGGCTAAGTTAAAGGCCTTCGGTGCTCCTTAATCGAGCGATGGCTCGATTACCAAAAAACACCGACGATCTGCGGAAATTCATACCCCGTCTGCAACTCTGAAAAAGGCAATAACAAAGGGTGTAAGGAATAGAAACAAGGCATCTAGATGAAATCCTATTTTTATTAACGATCAATTGCAAAAATAGGCTTCCCAAACGGTTGGGCTTGACAGCTACGAGCCACACCAAATTACGTACTCCGTAAAGCGCGGAATTCGGTGGCATAGGCGAAAATGGCGATTAAGGCAAAAGTAACGAAATTCTGCTTATTGTTCGATATTGCGATACTATTTCGTCTACCACGGATTATCCAATTCCCAAACCTAATTTGCACCCCCAAGCCAAACATGTTTTGACCCGATCATATGCTCGGGTCAAATTTGCCCAATTTCCCTCCCAACTCGCTGGGCCCATCAGGGCGCCAAATATGCCCTCGGGGGCTATTTTTAGCGGAGAAGCCGAAAAAAGCGGAAAACCGGAAAGACGCTTGGACTCCGGCCAAGAAAGTGCAGGCAGCAAATTGGCTTGGTTATATCGTTGATATTCGAGAATGTGTATGTTTTTATCGGAAAATTAGATGGTTCAGTGGTGGCAAGAGTATAGTAGCGGAAAAAAAGAAGTAAGAAAAAAGAAAAATAAGACCCTTCGTAAAAAATTTAAGATGAATTTTTAGAACGCTTCACCTCGACAGAAAATTGTAATTTGGTCAATTTACAAAAGTTACCGTAATTACGGCAGGAGGAAACGGGGCAAAAACGGAAAATCGGTTTTGCATCCGAAAAACTAAATTTAAACTTAGAAAATGCTGAAAAATGAATCTACCAGGAATAAGTTTTTTGGGAATTTTGGTTTTCAACGTTTTCGTAAAGAGGCCATAATTACGGAAAGCGGAGTGTCGCGGAAAAGACGGAAAACTGAAACCGAAAATTACCCGTTCAAAACGACTTCGACTCGAAATTGTCCTCAAAACCGTTGCGGAGCCTCAAAAATGGAAAAGCCCACCCATTCCCGGAGCTGTTTATTTATTGACCATGTGGGGAAATGCGGCAAAAATGACCAAAGCGTCCCCAGGGAGCCGAGGGCTCATTCAGAACGACTTTGTGACATATCATCCTCATAAATTTCTTTTTGGGGGGTAGTACATAGTGCGCGGACGGAGAAAACAATTTCTTAAGGAGCTAGTAAGTGCCAGAATAGATGAACTCGACTAGGTCTCGACAAAATGGTGCAAAGAATTCGATGTTCCTATCTTTCTCTCTCTCGCTCTCTCTCATCCATCATCTCTCGCTCTCTCACTTTGTCTCTCTCTCTCTTCCTCTTTGGCTCCCTCTATCTCACCATCTGTCTCTCGCACTCTCGCTCACTCGCATTTTCTAGTGTAGATTATAAAAATTATAAAAATGTAAAAAATCGAACTAGCCATCCATGTTCCTCCAAAAAGACAACCAAGAATTAAGGGCAAACAATTTCACAAGTCTTCTTCTCTCTCTCAAAGACCTCGTTCCCTCCAAGAGGCCAAAAGCGGAGATCTGACAACGCGAAAATACTCATTACGCTCGGCAAGGCACGCGAAGAGTCAACGAGCAGTAGAGGGTGTTACCCCGTTTTGGGCCCGGATTGGCCACCGGGTGGGACCAGAATAGCATACCGGGCTGGCTAATGGGATTGTTGCCACCATTCATGTGGGGCAATCGCGTAGTGGGTTGGATGGTCATGGATCGGGAATCGAGATTGGGCTCGGTTCATAAAGCAGGCTTATAAGCTAGGCTAAGATTTGACAAAAAAATATACACAACGCATGAGACGGTATTGGCAAAGTAGAATTTTAGCCTGACTAAAAGGTACATTAAGGTCTCGTTGGGTT